AGGAGTGTCACCCTTCCCATCCCTGTCTGCACCTTTCTGCACTGTCTGCACCTTTCTGAAGCAGGCAAGCTTTTTTTTTCAGCATAACTATGTTTGCAGACATTAGTCCAGCAGATGGAGCAAATGGCTGAATAAATGAAACCAGCACACAGTCCAGGCCAGAGGTAGAGGAGGTGTGCAGAGAAGCAAACCTAAGTGATTAAGTCCTGTTTTGAACCTTGCTGCTTGCTAGCTGTTAGCTTTCAACTCCAAACAATACAGCACAGTGTGCATTACAGATGGAAAACAGAATCTTTAGAAAATAACCGCGAGCAAACAGGACTGCGAGAAGAATGAGCAATGAATGAATTGCTCTGCTGCAGTGGTACTGAACAGAGCAAATGCTGGTCCTGCCTTTTTCCCTGAGGTCCATGTGTTCACTCCCTGCTCAGGGCCCCAGAATGGCAGTGCTCTCTGCTCTGGCATGGTGGCATGGGGCTGAATGCAAGTTTTAGAGATCCTCCAAAAAAGTTTCAGCAGGTAGTGGTCTTGTTCTTTAAGCTGATGTCAAACTCTCTAGAGTGTCATGAAGTTCAAAGTTAATCCGATGGCAGAACTTTTCAGAGGGCTTGGGGCTGTCAGGTAGCCCTGAGTCAAAGAAACGGATCTGCTGTCCAACCCAACACACTGCACATCTGTTCCCATAGCAGCCTGAGACCTTCTGGCCTGTGTTCATCAGTGCATCCTACACATCTAATAGCTGTGCTACCAGCTTGCTGTTGAATGAGAGTTCTTCTGAATTATGGGCAGTACATGGTCTGCTTCTCATTATTCTGCGGACGTATTTCGTATGCCTGGACAGTCACTGTGGTGCAGGCAGAAGCACATGCCAAGTTTTACAACTGACTATCACTCTGATGGGAGGCTTTGAGTTCTGGATAAAACTAGAGACTGAGGAAGGGTTATTAAGTAGTTCAGTCTGAGCTCACAGCTTTATGGCCAGCTGCAACTGAACAGCCTTGTCCTCCAACAGTATTTTTATGGCCTTACAGAACTCATGTTTGGCCACAAGAAACCGGGCAGTGCTAACACACACTAAAATTAGCTGCTGGACCACTTCATCCACTTTCAACCATGCTGTATTCTGCTCAAGGCTGCCCTTAAAATGCTAGAGACCTCGTCCAAAAAAAGAATGATTAATCTGTCATTGGTTCAGCCATCTGTAATGTGGTGCAGTGGGCAAGTGAGAGGTTTAAGTAGGGCTGTGGAAATATTCACATTACAAGTTAGAATCATAGAGTGTCTCAAGTTGGAAGGTACCCATAAAGACCATAGGGTCCAACTCCCTGCTCCTCTCAGGACTACCTGAAAATAAACCATGTGACTAAGAGCATTGTCCTGATGCAACTTAAACTCTGACAGGCTTGGTGCCATGACTGCTTCCCTGGGGAGCCTGTTCTAGTGACTGACAACCCTATCAGTGAAGAAGGGTTTGCAGACTATTCTTCCCTGTTTGAAGGCCCATCTCCAAGTCCACAACAGAAGAGTATCAGTACTAGAAGGGGCCTTCTCAGTTGGGAGCTTGCTATGGCAGAGGAAGCTTTCAGCCTCTGGGGCTGTGACACCAGGCCCTGGTGGAAGAAGCACCCTTAGAGGACTCCTTGGAAAAGTTAACACTGCCCCTGCTAGTGCTGCTTCTCTGCTCTTCAGACTCACTGCAATTCTCACACCCACTTAAGCTATCCTAAAAATAATTTTAAAGTGATACCTGAAGTACTAGCCTGGGTTGGGTTATTTTTACCCCGTATATGGCACTTTTCACCAGGGGATCTTAATATACTTCATAAAGGAGGGAAAATATTGTTATCCCATTTTACATGTAGTTAGGAATGCATTATGGAAATGGCAGAACAGGCAAAAGTAATGATTACATTCAAACCATGGCAGCCTTGGTTTAAGGTAAGTAGATCTGTTCCTGCCAGTTTGAAGTCATCAGTAGTAAGTCATCTACAATAAGCAAATTTTAATCACAGACAATTTCCTGTACTAAATTAACTTAATTGGTAACTTAATTGGTTATTTTTCCTTTGTAGTAAAGTATCCATCAGAAAATACCAAAGTGTTGCTGACAGTGCAACTCCGACAGATGTGTGTGCTCTTTGTTACAGCTATCAAGCCTCCCACCCCACCTTCTGTCCAACCAGGAGAGGACCAGAAAGCAAATAATATAGTCACCATCACAGGTATCTCCCTATGCTTGTTCATCATCTTTGCCACCATTCTCATCACCCTCTGGAGGAAACTCTGCAGAGCTCAGAAGTGCAGCAACGCTGTCCGCCGAAACTCTGTGCATTCCCCCAGCTTCCGGAAGAACTCTGACGAGGAGAACATTTGCCAAGGCAACAAGCAGCGAGACAGCTTCGCTGAAGGAGGGGATGCCCCTGTCAACATTCCTCTGACCTACAGGCGAAGCCTCCAATTTGCCCAAGAAGATGATGTCTCTGGAAGTGAGAACTTTCAGCTAAATGCCCAAAAAATAATCCCTCCAATTTTCAGCTACCGCCTGGCACAGCAGCAGCTGAAAGAAATGAAGAAGAAAGGCTTGACTGAGACCACCAAGGTGTACCATGTCTCTCAGAATCCCCTCACGGACACGGTTGTTGGTGCCACCACGATGCTTCCCCTGAGCACAGAAAATCAAGAGGAGGCAGCAGTAAACAAATTTAGGATCAAGTCTCCATTTCTGGACCAGCCAACCAGTCAGCCCAAATTTCTGGGGGAAAGCTCCCACCCTAGGCTGGATTTTCCATTCTCACAGGCCAATCCTGCAATGAGCCCTACCCAAACCTTGATAAGAAGAGCTCATTTCAAGCACCAGGATAACAGAGGGGACTTGTCCGAGAGGGGCTGTCACAGAAACCCACAGTTTAGAAGAACAGCCAGTTTCCATGAAACTAAAAAGGCCAGGCCTTTCAGAGAGAGAAGCATGTCCACCCTTACCCCCCGACAGACTCCTCTGTACAACTCCAGGACCAGAACATGGGACCAGGGTTTGGAGGACAGGACACGACCAAAATCGAGAAACACGAATCCAATTTGTGAAAAGCTGGATCAGCCCCCCAGCACTGTGCCAGGATGTGAACTGCAGGGCCATGGCACAAAGTGCCACCACAGGGCAGGTCCCCCAGTGAAGAAGCTGGACCTGATCACTGACCGCCAGCCTGCCAGTCAGGTGAAGGCAGCTGATAAACCTGAGCCCAGCCGAAGTAAGAGGGGCCCTTCACCTAACCCCAGAGGCGCATGGCGTAAGGAAACGGGCTCAACTGGTAAAGATAATTCCCAGAGAGTCCTGAGTGTAAGCCCTGCCCAGTACCGAAAGGACAAGTGCCAGAGCTTCCCCTTGGACCCTGAGTTTGCCTTTTATGATAATACTACTTTTGGCTTAACAGAGGCAGAGCAGCAGATGATTGACCTCCCTGGGTATTTTGGCTCAAATGAAGAGGATGAAACAAGTACTTTAAGCATTGAGAAGCTGGTGATGTGAGTGACTCATTGCAGCCCTGCAGGAGGGGTGTGCACGGGAGAGGATCTGCAGGATCTGTTGGCTTCTAATGGAAGGAGCAGAGGGAGTTGCATTACCTCTGCACAGAGCAAGAGGGAAGAAAGCCCCAAGTCTGGCTTGTGGAAACACATTCCTTTCTAAGTACTGGAAAGTGCTTCCATGTAATTATTTTTTGTATGTATGTGTGTACAATACACACAAAATATCCTGGGAAAGCACGTGTTACTGAAGGTGTGATGCAGGAATAGCCAATGTTTTATTGCATAAAGCAGTCACATTTTGTGCATCATACATAATGAATGGCACTGATCTAGCCTGTCTCACCTTGTGGACCGTGTACTAGTAAGATTATGATGTCCTAAAGCATCCATTTTCCAGTATCCTCAGCCATCTGTCCTAATTAGTGAATCATTTCCCATTTAGGAAACACAAACCTCAAGTTGTGAGCAGCTTCCATTGTTTTTCTGGTAGTCATTATTGAACTGTGTTGATTTGTTGTAGTTGCTCAAATAAGTCATATTGTGGTGTTTATTTTAGCTGGTTGCATGAAAGTGCAAACAATTGATGCTGAATACTTGGAGTGAATTTAAAATGGAGGGGGCATTTTCCATCATTCAAGACTCATATTTTCTTTCTGCCAATATTTATACCAAGAAAACAGTAATGAACAAATATTTGCAGGAAATGAGTAGAAAAGGGCAAAGGGAGGGTGAGTAGAAAAGGGCAAAGGGAGGGCGAAGAGAATGGGTGATCAAATTTTAGTCCTCACAGAAATGTTACTGCAGTATTTAAGCACCTGTAAAAGGCAGTGAGAGAACTGTTGAGTCATCCATCCTTTCCATAACCATCTTTGCCTTTATCAAAATTTTTCTAAAACGTAAAGCAAGCTCAAAATAAATTATTAATAAAACCTGCAAATAACAAATTTATTCAATGAATACCTGTTTTGCAAACAAAAAGAAAACATAAAATGGCTTGACAACATCTGGTGATTCCTGGAGAATCTTATGGTGAAGTACAAAAGTTATGTTGTTTTCTTTTGTCGTGCATTAAAACCAGAGATCAAAAATCGGTGATTACACACTGCTGCAGGTATTTAGAGCTGGGCTGAAACCCCAAATAATAACAGAGACAGAGCTTGGGCCAGCAGGAATGACTCAGAGACTTTCCTTGGCATTTGTTAGGATAAGCATCTCTTCAGGATGTTTGGAAAGGCCAGGGCAATGCTATTGGGCAACAAGAAAAGAGATGGTGCCCATGGAGGATGAAGTGAGAGAAGGTAGGTTCAGGCAGGGGACTGTCAGTCTTAAAACCACTCTCCCATAAGGAGCCCAACCCTACATGCCCTTTAACCCACCTTGTGGGAGTGAAGGAAAAATTAGAATATACTCAGTTTTCTGTCAGTAGGCTGCTATCTTTCTCAAAACTGGCTTTTTTTTTTTTTTTTTTTTCTCTGAACCAACAACCATTTTAAAGGGAGAGCAGCATCACTCTGTGTTAGCCAGCTGCTGATGGCACCCCACCGAAGTGTCCACAGCACGCACAGGTAACCTGACAGGCGCACAGCAGGAGGGCTCGCTGTGACTGCCTGGAAGGAAGCAGATGCTCAGCATTTGGCTGCCAGCGTCAACCCCTGCCATTTGAGTGGTCTTTTTGATGGGTAACGTTTTGCAGATGCTGCTGGAGCACGGGATCCGGCTCACAGGGTGATGTGAGCTCTCTTTGTCGAGCTGCGCCAGCACGCCACGTTGTCAACGTTCAGCTCTTCAGCTCAGCACAGTGTTTGTACTGGCTACGTGTTCCCATAAACTGTCAGCTTGAAATGCTCTTTAAAGCATTTGAGAACATGTCCACGCTTGAGGACTGATCCAAGGCCAATCAAACGTAATGAGTCTTCAAATTGACTTAGATGAGCTGGAAATCAAACCTCTGAAGCACTTGCTGCTCAGGTTACTTACCACCCCTGTGCTAGGGTGAACTCCACTGTGTGAAGCGTGTTCTCCCTGAAGCAGTGATCTGTCAGCACTGGAGCTACAGGGCTACATTATCTACAGCTTTGGTGAGGCTCAGCGTGGGAGACCCTGGAGAAACAGGAGATCCAATGTACAGCACAGCAACATTCAGCAAGCATTCCCCCAACCTTCGGTGGGAGTGATTTGAGCTTGGTGGTAGCCCTCGGGTCAAATAAATACTTGGCTAGTGGCGTTTACCCTGTTTATTAAGATAAAGAGGGTTCTGAAACACTTCCAAGGTTTGCTGTGAGAGTTACAGGGTCCTGCACAAAGCCCTGTACTCCCTGCATCTCTGAGGGGTTTCATGTGTCACAGGAGGGCGGAGGAGAGGGAGCCTGGCTCTAAGGCAGGTGCTGCTTCCTGCAACCTTGTCTCAGTGTTGGGCTGCACTCAGAACTGATACTGTAACGCATTAGGTGGACTTTGATACATCCAAGACAGCAAGGCAGACCCCTTCTCCCCCAGCTTTTCAGATCTTTGCCCTTTTCTTAGAAAAAACCCACTGTTAATATACTGATGCTGGCTGAAGGCAGTCTGACTGTTGCCATTGACACAGGCTCCATACTCTGGACTTCACTCACTGCTCTCTCACAGGGGAACCGGACTGGGTAGCAGTTGTCTAAGCCCTGATGACTTTATCTCCAGCTTGATTCTCCATTATCAAATGGGTTATTGGGTGCACAATGAACTGTCAAACCACTAGTGTTGTCCCTTTGGTGCTGTAGTTGATTTCCAGCATGCAGTGTTGAGCATCACTAGTCTGTAATCTTTACGCTGCTTCCCTAGCCCTCTACTGAAATGGGATCGAGCATCATCTGCCAGAAGGCATTAACTTATTTCACTCACATTTCTCTGTGTCTTCTGCCTAGACAAAAATTGTCCTTAAGGCACTGCATCAGAGGCCACATGGTTATAACGTGCAAAGTGATTCCTTATGTTCCCAACATGCAGTTACAACCTCGTGCTAAGATTTTACCACAGTAAAATACAGAAGTAGTGATCAGAAAGGAAATAGCAAGTGCTGGCTGTTCACAGCCCTTTCTTCACAAGGGCAACCTCGTTTCAGAGATGTAGGTGCAAGTTTCATTCCATGTGGTACATGCCAACACTTGGCAAGAGGCCAGTGGTGCAGTCTTGCCAGGGCACAGGCTTTAGGAGCACAGTTCCCTGGAGTGCTGGCCCTTCGCGCTCTGGTGTTCATGTCTGCAATCACTGGCATGTCTGGGAAGAAGTGAGAACAGGGTTTACCTCTTGACAAAGCAGAGGAACCAAACCAAGTTTTACACTGAATTTTCATGTGTCTCTGCATTGTCTCCAGGACAGCTTGAGCCATGGAAATTAAACTTACCTTGCAGACCCTCTCAGCTACCTGGGACAGCAGGTGCCAACACCAGAAGGGTGCATTTCTTGAATTACGAGCTTTCTCAAGATTTTAATCCAAATTTCTGTTCAAGTTCCTACTGTTGAAAACCAGATACAAAGTGTTAAGTCCTATTGAGATGGTTTTATTTCACCCTTTATGGATATATAATACAAAGTACAATATGTATGAATCTAAAAGCAAGTAAATGGAAAAGAACTACCAGTTTAAAAAAATTATTGTAATTCAGAACAAGAATAAGCTCATTCTACAACATGGTAGTTAAATGATTTGCATCAAGCTGATATGTTCATTTTCGACTGTTATTAACAACTTGTGGAAAATAAATTTTTAGTATTCCATTTCCTTCAGTCATTTGTGTTGCTCTTTCGTTTCACTCCAGTGAGACAATGAAAGCAGTGTGTCTTATGGCTCAACCACTTTCCACTTTCTGATTCCCCTTCAATGACTCACTGGTAAATCACACGAGAACATACATATGAATCATGACTGCATTTTATGAGCTCCCAAGAATATCTGCTCATCTCAAATTTAGTGAAATCTGCCTAATTTTAATCTGAGGCTTAAGTCTGGTCGGCAGCATTGTCTTTGCATTAATGTGTTGCAGTGTGCTATAGAAGTGGGTCTGCAGTGGGAAGCTGTTGGCAATGAAACACAGTGTCCACACTGTCCATGTTGTGGGGGTTTACTTCGAAAAGCCTTAGTCTGGATGCACGCTTGCAGTTGGAGCATGTCCATACATGTGGTTTGGTTTCACACACTCCAGGAGTGTTCCGCAACTGAAGTGTGGCAGTTGCAGACAATAGGCAGAATTGCTTAAAAACTCTCCTGATCCAGAGCAAAGCACCAATAAAGGCACTCCAGATGAAGTCCACTTCCCCATCACCTTGTTGTTTGTATCCATATGGTCTTTTAACTGAAGCACTGATGATTAAAATCAAGATGAAAAAGATTTAGCCCTTGAAGAGTAGATAGCTAAAAGAACATGCTTGCTCATTCAAGGTCCAGAGAGCTTTATGATTCATAAACACTATCCAATGAAGTCCTGAAAACTGCTGAAAAAGAAAACTGGTTATTCCATGACTGTCATCCGTATGTTTTCCATTAAATTGTTGGCTGGCTGTACTCAAAACAAGTTGCGACATTAGCTTCAGCTAGTAGAAATGGGTGCAACTCCAGTTATCACAGTGCAGGTTTGGCGGTTGGTAGCAATGCAGGGCTAGCTATTAACCTACACAATTCTTTTCAGCCTGTAATTTTTTATTTCCAAGGCAGCAGGTTTCAGCTGTCCTGACTGTTCTCACCGTCTCCACTCTCGCTGTCAACAAAGAACGGAGCCCTGATTTTCATGGCTGAGTATTTCAGCGAGTACCACATCCCATGCCATGTAGACCAAACCATGCCATTGTCATGGGATCCATTGTACCTTCCTGTTCTGTAGTATTGCCCGTTGAGGTTTACAGCATGACACCTTGTAATGATGTAGGAGAGAGAAAAAAGATTAGGTTTAGCATGGGAAGGTATTGCAGCATTACAGTGAAGTACAATTTTCATACAACGTACATTTAGAAATACCAGGGTGGGATTCACTGACAGATTCAGGCACCTAGATGTATCCGTCTGTACTGACCTGATTATCTGAAGTCCTGCTGGAGATGCCTATGGAGATCTGGTTAATGCATTCAGTGGAACCCAGAGAAGTATGTGGGTCATCCTAGACACCTACGCTGGTCAGATAATTCAACATGTTGACACCTTCAAGTGTATTAACTAGGGACATGATTCAGTTGCCTAAACAGAGGGGTGTAGTGCCATTTGGTAGGCTCTAGCTCAAGTGGAGGCAGATACATATAGACACCTAAAAATGCAGATGTCTTTTAATCCCACTATTGATGTACAATTTTGTAGCTCCACTGATTTAAATTTGCATGGGATGAGGGCCTGGTCAAAGAAGACCCTCATCCTGCACTAAAGCAGAGAAAAACTGAGAGCAGTGTGTCCATGCTCCCAGGGCTGGTGAACCTGAGTCCCTATCGGTTGCTGTGTGGGGTATGCCCAGTGACCTAACATACTGTCAGGACTATTAAGGGGTAGCTCACCCCCTAGACATGCTCCACAACAGAGAAATGGCCATTGTATACACTTCACCTTCCAGTGACTACCATTGTTTTTTTTTTTTTCCTGGGATATAACCCAAAGCACTTTAAGGAATTTTAATTGGGCTCTTTTCCTTCCAGGTCATTCCCCCCTATGCATTTATTCCAGCTCATTTTCTTAAAATAAATGCAATTTACCTGTAGCCCAGTTTCTTAAAATGAATGCAATTTACCTACTTTGCTTCATGATGAAAGAAGCAGATTGCTTTCCTATGAGGATCTGTACTTGTTAACATCTTAGATTTGGCTGTGTGAGATGGCAAGTGTACACAGTAACCTCCAGTAAGGCAGGCAAGTCCTCTCGGCTGCACAGCCACCCACACCCTGTGCATCCGAAAGGAATCAAGTGTTTTCCATACCTGTTAAACCACCAACCGCCCTTGTTCTCTGATGCACAGTTGCCTGCCAGGAATCGATCGTGATCCTTGTCAGATGTGGTGAACTGCATCCCTCTGTGAGAGGCTGACCACTGATCTTCAAAATTGCTCCCACCAGACAGAGCGTCGCCAGCGTTACCAGAATAGGTGCCAAACCATAACCTGTAATTGTCCTGCAAGAATATGTGAAACATGTCTTTGATATCAGCTCTCTCTGCCCTTTCTCCCATTTTTAAAATAAAATTTGCTCTGGCCATTGTATCCACTGTCAAAGGCATGACCGTTGAAGTCAATGGTGACTTTTGGCCCCATGCTTTAATGATCTTCTTTAATGAACTTCCAGAAGGGATTAATAATTGCTGCTGCTGCTACAAAGGGTTTTGGGCTTTTTTGTATTTCAATAACCATTTGATACACTATACAACAGGCTCATCAAGAGCAACTTGGCAGAAAACTCCCAAGTACTTGCCCTCGTAATCTAGTAAATTGTTCAGATAGAATAACTCCTTAGGAATTTTGCTCCAAGAACTAGAAACCATCTGATTTCTGGGCCCCCAACATAAGAAAGACATGGACCTGCTTGAGCAGGTCCAGAAGAGAGTCACAAAGATGTTCAGGGGGCTGGAGCACCTCCCTTATGAGGTCAGGCTGAGAGAGTTGGGGTTGTTCAGCCTGGAGAAGAGAAGGCTCCAGGGAGACCTTATAGTGGCCTTCCAGTACTTAAAGGGGGCTACAGGAGAGATGGGGAGAGACTCTTTATCAAGAATGTAGTGATAGGATGAGGGGTAATGGTTTTAAACTGAAAGAGGGTAGATTTAGATTAGGTATGAAGATTAAATCCTTTAATGGTGGTGAGATGCTGGCACAGGTTGGTCAGAGAAGTTGTGGCTGCCCCCTCCCTGGCAGTGTTCAAGGCCAGGCTGGACGGGGCTTTGAGCAACCTGGTCTAGTGGAAGGTGTCCCTGCCCATGGCAGGGGAGTTGGAACTAGATGATCTTTAAGGTCCCTTCCAATCCAAACCATTCTATGATTCTATGATATACAGATAACCCACTCTCACAGAAAAAACGAGCAAATTGCCACTGTCTCCATTTCTTACCTGCTCATTTGCAAGCTGGAAATTTTCATAGACTGCATAACGTCTTTCCCCATGCCAGTCCATCAGGTCAATCTTTAAAGAGCTTTCTCCTAAATACAAAGTGGTGTCCTGTTAGATGAACTATCTCATGCAAATTGGAAAGAAATATGTGGAGGGAAAATACTTGCACCTCTAGCAAGCAGGTCATAGATGTGGTCATTGCCCAGCCAGTATTCATCATTCTTGCCCTGGAATTTCCCAAATCCCAATTTGTAATCATCCCATTTCCTGCAGTGAGATACAAATACCAATTTCAGCATGTGAGAGAATTAGACAGCTTGTGACACCTGGGTATGGTAACAAAAAAATCCCTTCATGTCTATCTCTAGACACTGTTTTCTAAAAGTATCTGATTCATTGCAAGTTGAGCTGAGATTTGTCACTTGGCATTAGAAGTAAATACAACTCACAGCTTACTTTTTCTCCTGATAAACCTGGGCACACACACACATTGGGATCAAACCTCCAAACTGCCAGATGCAGTGCTCGCAGAATGAGGCTGTCAGGTGGAAAGGGAAGGAAGCAGCTGTCATACTGGTCTTCAGCAAAGCATCTGCTATTGTTCTTCAGAAAGGCATAATTCAAATGCACTCCTGGCTGGAAATGAATGTTGCAGTTCAAACTATGCTGCAATCTTGGATGTATGATGTGGTACGGTGAAGAATCAGAAACTGAACAGAAGCTGCAAACAAAAGCTTCCAGATGAAGTAAAATATCTGGGTTTTCTTTGTGCTCCTGTTCCATTTAAATCTCGTTTTGATTCATTGACCACTCTCACCTCTGCTGTTTTGCAGGATCACTGTTTGGATGTGGCAACTTGTCCTTCAAAGATACATGTATTTACTTTTCATCGGCATTCTATGGCTTCATCTTTCTAAGAGAAATTTCCTGCTGTTACTTTCTTCTCATCATTTCGTTCTCTTTAAATCTCCTCTGTTATTTATGTATTATCTTTGATATTCACAGATACTTCCTGTGTATCATCATTTCCAGTTTTACTAATCCTGTGTTTATTTCCTTTCTCATGTTGTTATTAGGGATATTAATTCTGCTTGACCTACATACTAGTCAATGCTCCTCTTGAGAATGCTTTTTATTCACCTGTGTTGAGAGCTGAACTATCATGGCTAGATAGCTCCCACGCTCTGGGAAAGTCAGTTTGGAGCCAGTTGAGGTAGCTTTGCAATGAACTGCACTCACTGTAAGAAACACTAGACAATGCCCTGAAATTGTGTATGCTGTGGTAGTGAACTAATCTGCAAGGGGACATTTCTTCCTTACTATGCTACCAGAGCACCTCTCCTCTTGAAGATTTCCAGGTGAAAGTCACCTCTCTGGGATTTTGCATAAAGGACAATCTGGACTAATGCTTTGGCATCTTTCTGAATGATATGAATAAGGAAAAAAATGTTACACCATGCTGAACATAATTGCTGATATGAGAACAGGTATGTTCAATAGGTCTCAGCCTATGCGTTGGCAGCAGATACCTGCCAATTTAGAACCTTTGACGGTCTCCAATAATAAAACAAATCTATACACATGTACACACTGACTCAAATGCAGACAAGCTATAGAAAAGGTGTTATAGGTCCATTTTGAAAATGGCCTCCTGCTACCAATATGTACTGCCAGTTTGTCCTAAAGCAAAGAGTTATCATCACTATAGTCTTGCATACCCTGCTTCTCAAATGTAGGGTTGTGACAGGAAGCAGGACAAGGGGTGGGAGCTGGAGGCCTGACTGCAAGACTTGTTGATGCAACCATGACACACCCACCTGTTGAAATTCTCCTTGCCATTACTCCGTCGTTGAATGACGGTCCACCCCCCGCCATCAGACATGTCACAGTATGCCAGGAAAGGCTCTCGGTCTGCTCTGGGTCTGATCCGGTAGTAGCCATTTTTGGTCTTCTTCCGATTATACACTGCAGAGCAATCTAGGCAGAATGGTATTGGTTCGTTAAACAGGGAAGGGGAAAATCAAAGTGTTATGTGAAGCCAAGAGAAGACATTGGTTGAGAGGCTGTATCAGACAAGGACACTTTGTCAGCCTGTGTATAGCTCTGCAAGCACTGCAAAGCCAAAGCAAATGGTTCAGGAACTAGCAAATGGTTAAGGAACTAGCAATGCTGGTTTGCAAACTGCTGGACCTGACAAAGAGCAGCAAGGCTTGGAGCCTTTACAGCCATGTCCTCTGAGGGAGTCATTCCCAAATCTCTGGTGAGATATAGGATGGCTGCAGCTCAGGGTGAGGCTATACCATGGGAGCAACACATGACCAGGTCGGCAAGATCATTTGCAGGGAAGCTAATTTTCATTTGGAAGGCAACCTCAGCTGTACTTCACATTGGATTAGGGCCCAGAATTTCTAAAATAAGAGGCTAAGCTTCTGCAACCAGCTCTACCAGGGCTGTATCAAGAGAGTGCCTTTTAGGACCTCTGTGCTTCATGGTTTCAATGTAAGGCCCATGAAGAAAATCTTGGTCACAGACCATAATTCCAGTTATGGTCATGTTTTCAGAGTGACACCAAGGAACAGAGTATGCACTCTCACTACTGCACAAGTGATGGAGGAGCCAAGGAACAGGGAGCCTGGGCTCCTCCAAATAGGTTTCAGTGCTTGCAGCTAAGCCAGGCACTCTGGGCTCCTCTAAGTCACTCAGGAGAAATGAGCTCTTAAAGCAGATGTCTAATGTAGGTCTGATAGAAAACATCTGAGAGGTGCCTGTTCCTCTCTGCACCAGAGTCCCCGGTGAGAAGCCCAGCTACAGGTACCTGTGTGTATCTGAGTGGTAGCTGCCTAAAGCTGGGCCAGCTGGCTCTGGCCCTAGGGGATGTCTGCTGGTACCAGGGCCACCAGTCTGCCCTTCTTCTTCCCATGTATCTGACTGCATTTTAAAACATGGTCCACTTTTAAAATTCTAAAACTTTTAGCAGAAATAAAGTATGACACATGGGACACTGCAGGGAGAAATAAACATTGTGGCAAGCTGTAATTTCCACTCACACTACTGCAAACTGTACCTTGGTCATAGACTATCAAATTTCCACTGGTTGTGGGTAAGAGCATCTCATGTTGCACACTCCTGTTGCCTGAGAACAGCCCACTTTTTGTTCTATGGTAAGTGTTCTCCAGGATGTCCTTCAGTTGCAGTTCATATAAGTAAAGCAAATCTTGAAGCTGTTTTAACCTTTGTCTTAATTTATTGTTGTCTAGGAGGCAAATATCTTTTTCCTGTGGAGAAAATAAAACAAAAAACCCCACACTTCAGTCAGTGGTAAGCAGAGGGAGGCAGAGGGAGAAGGAGTATCTGTCTCCTCTTGACCCTAACATGTCACACTGCTTCTGTGGATCAAGATGATTCAATGGTGGCCTCTTCCTAAAATATACAAATCTTGCAGAGCATGGGCTATTGAGTTGAACCCAGTGGAAAAGGGTTTTCTGCAATGACCTTGCCACTGCTCATAGCATCCTAGAGTATGTTCAGATATACAGAAAATCACTTTGGACAAAAATAATTTGTCTCAACTCCCATTTGATGAACTCAGAGGGAGCGTTTGCAGACTATGAAACTGCTCAGGGTAATAAAAGGGGGAAAACTCAGCTTGTGGGCTGCAGCCAGGCCAAATCAGTGGAGTACCAGAAACACTTTCTTGTAAAATTGGAAGATAAAAGAGCTGATATTTGGAGCAAATCAGCTGGAAGCACTGAGCCTACGGTGTTGTAACTTTAGAGCTGCATTACCATAGTGAAGACTAGAATCTGACCCACACTGGCTGGGATAAACATTTTCAGCAACAATCTAGTCTGTGCATGGTGTTAGTCCATTAAAAACATAACAAAACTGAGCAAAATCTCTTCTGAGACAACCAAGCAAACCCATGCAATAAGAATAATTGGCTATTTTCACTCTGTGCAAGCTGGCTTCAGTGATATCAGGTCAGGACCAACTCTACACATAAGCAAAACAAGCAGTTGCCCACAGCAGCAGGCTGCTGAGTGTGCTCAAACGTGACCTCCCAGCTGCCTCTTCCTTCTCCTTGGCCTGTTGGTTTTCCTCCACAGAGGAGGATTTCCAGGCTGGAGTCACACAGGGACAGCTCACCAAACTCTCCTTGCCAAGCTCTTTACCTTGTTGGGTTGGCCCAAGAGAAATTTGCTCACCAGAAGAGTACAGATTGCTTCAGACTATGCCTACCTCCTCTTCCCCTTCCTGCTTTTTAAATCACAATGAATAAATGAAGTCAGTTTTCCCTGAGGGAAGGGAGTAGAGTATCTCTTCACTGGCCATAAAATTACCTTTTTTTTTTTTTTTTTTTTTTAAGGGTTTTTGTTGTTTTTCATTCTTGGCAATGTCAGTCCAGCCACACAGAGAGCTGCACAGCCCCTAATGCCATGAAAACCCTGTATTATCAGGACAACAAAAGTGACCTTCCTTTAGCTGCAGGCAGATGCCTTTTTGTTCTGCTCCTGCAGGTCTCCATCCCTCTTGTGGGGGAGCACCTACCTATACATGACTGGGAATGATAAACCATTGAGAGGTTGTATAGACACTAGCTAAGAGATACGCACTGAAAACCTGGGTGCAGGTGAGCCGAAGCTGACCAGGAGAAGGAGCAGCAGCAACCAGGGCATCATCTCACTCATTTCTTATCACCTGAAAAGAATCATTGACAAGCTGCATTGGAGGTTTATTTAGTTGTTCTCACAGCTTAATCCCCCCCTCACAATCATGTTTAATTCCTCAGAAAATGCTGCAGGATTTGTTAAGGAGGGTACTTGAAACTACAGGCAGGACAAAATCAGGGAAAAGATGCATGTTAGGGAGAAGCTAGCACCAGTGCAGTGTGCTGACAGGGGAATCAAGGCTTAGGTCCAAGCTCCTGTTTCCCTGGAGAAATAAATACCCGGCATGACTCTCCCGAAGCCTCTACCCCTTCTCCTGAGTGCCCACGCAGACAGGAAGTAATTCAGCAAGAACACCTCCTTGGAGGACTCCTTGCCAAACTGGTTGTCCAAAATTACACCATCCTTATTCAGTCCAAACTCCCCAAAGTTTAAGAGGAATTTTGTCTTCTGGTTAAATGCCCGTAAGCATTGCCCCTCCTCAGCCCATGAAGTGGTCTGTCAGGATGGAAATACCTTGGAGGCCAAGGGCAGAAGTTACACGTGGGACAGAGTGGACATGGGATAGTTTTTGCCTGGATTTCAGTGGAAGAGATCTCTGCTGATGACCTGCCCCAGCACACAGACGGGGCCTCAGTCATAGAGACTCAGCTAGAAAAAACACTAAGCAACTGCCGCTGGGAACATGCAGCTGAATGCGAGTGAACAGTACAAATTGTTCGTAGTGTGCTTGGATGCTTCTTTAAAAAAGAAAATCAAAAAGAATTAAAAAGATCTGAAAAATAGGCTAAAACCAACTCCCCCGCTTCACATCTGGAAGCACTGCAGAAACTTGGCTACCCAGATCTGTGCTTTGTTTCAGCTACAGCTCTATTAGCATCCCCACCGTGGCTGATGCTGGGGCTGCTCCCAGAGCCAGCAACGCCGCTGCGACAGGGGAGACATCTGCCAAGCTGGGCAGGCAGGGCCCAAAGCAAGCTGAGAGAGAAGTGCCCTGTGGAAGTCACCCATAAAAGAAGTCATGCAGAGGGGTGCCCCAGAACGTGGCTTTTTTTCAGCTCATACAGAGAAAAGTTCAGTATTGCAGCAAGGGACCCCCAGCTGCATGACTACTGGTGCTGTACATTTACACCCCACAGCTGTGCCAGTGGTGTGCTGCAGCACCCGGCATTGAGGTCAGAATCAAGCCTCATGTGGGTGGAGGCAAAAGCTAACAGGGAAGATGGGTTTGAGCAATGGCTCCTGAAAACCAGACAGTGCAGACAGGAGGGAAAGAAAGCAACTTCATCTACACCTTTATCAACACGTATTAAGTGCACATACCTGTAGCTCGCCTTTCCTTCAGACCTCCTCCTGATAAGATTATCTCCCTTAGAGTCAACTGCAAAAGAAAGTGATCATAAACCTGGTTGTGTTTCTAGAGGTTGATGAGCTTTTCCTTTCCAGATGGCCCACATCAAGGACGCAGACAGAGAACGTTCCACAGCACTAGGCAGTTCCACAGAAAAGACACTCACAATTCCTTGTGGGAAAGTTACCCAAACCCTGGATTACCTGTTGTTACCCAGTACTCATCCTGCTGCTTCCCAGTGAGGATAAATGACAGTTAGGTTTCTATCAGCAGTGCTCTCCAAGGGAGAGGGGCTCTGCTGCTGGCGTACCATTACCCACCCTATTTGCCTAGGAAGCTCAACCAAGACTGACTTCTTTGTTTATATGAATCACTCAGACTAATGCTCCCTGTGGGACTTTTATCTCGTGTTTAATACAGCCAGGCTCATTTCAGTAAGTCCTGCAAGGTGGAAATAACACAGCTTTTCCGTTCAGCATTCCTTTTGCTGTTTAATCTGGTTTATATGTAAAAGCACAGCACAGCTGTGTCCTTTACCAAAGCAGCTGCAAATCTGAAGCAAGAAGAGAACACAGGGATATTAAGCAAGATTTGCTATTCTACTGAAATCTCAGGAGGTTTGCAGTTGTGTAACTCTCCTCCGAGCTGGATGATGAGATTTGCTAGTTAACACAAACAAGGACATTTGTGGAAGAGAGAAAAAACAAACCCAAACAAACAGATGGGTGCCTCCCTTTGCATTATGGCCAAAGAATTACAGATTATTTTAAAGAAAACAGCAGGAATGTTCCATCTGAGAGAGCTGTGTTCAGAGAAGAGACCGTGGGACAAAAGACAAGGCATATAAACCCATAGTAAACTTCTGTGTTACTCTCCAGGAAAGCAGGACTGTCCAGCTATTACCATGTACAGCTATGCTGTTTATTTCTTAAAAACTGCATTCCTCTTCTCCCGCAAGAACCACTGATCCATTTCACTGCCAAAGGATTATGTAAACAATGCTTGCCTTCTCACACGTTCTCTACCCCGTTTTAGGCTGGCTTTGGCAGCTGTGAAATAAAATGAGTGAAACCTCTCCTCCTTAGTGGGTACTCAGCCCTTTCTTCCGCCCCTTTGACCAGTGGCTGCAGCTGACAGCGGGGTGCTTGGGTAGCACGGGGTGCCCTGAGCACAGGGAGGCGGCACGCCATCCCCTGCGGCTTTCAACCGCAGCAGCATCTCTTTCTCAGCTGGAGCCAGCCAGCCAGTGCTTGAGTTGCTGCGCACGAATTTATGCTCTTGCCTAGATGGCTAACATCCTCCTCGGCCCATGAACACCTCCTGGTCCCAGGTGGGACTGGCGATGGGCCTGGATCTCTGATGGCAGCGTTGGAGTCACAGTGTGGGCAGCATGGCCAGCCTCCACAGCTGTCCGCAGGGCCATACAGCCAGGGAGCCCTGCTGGTTCCTGGGTAGGAGGGATGGTGAAGCTGCGGTCCCAGTGGGACTCAGGCGTGCATGTTATGTGACTGCAACTTTGTAGGAGTAGGACTCAAACTCCAACTCTCCTTCAGGCACCCCCCCAAACGCCTCTCAGAGCCAAGATTTCTGGAGCACTCTCACGTCCTCTGTAAGATTCCACCAGCATTAGCCTCAGCAATGCCTGTGTGTGAAAAACCCAGTCAGCTGGAATGTGTTTCTTGCATATCTGCTTCAAAATAAACTTATTTTTCCCAGGCTAGATGAAGCTTTAGGTATATCTGAAGCACAAGAGAGGGTTGCCGTGAGGTTGAGTTCATGTGAAGTAGGTCTAGCAGAAGGGTGTGTTCATGTTCTGCTCCATTGGCCCAGAGCTGAAATAATTAAGTTGTCATAAATAATGTGGACACTGTGTGATCATTGATGTTTTTTCCTCACAGATGTTGAAATCCCTAAGAAATGCGACTGTAAATGCTCTTTTTTTTTTTTTTTTTTTTTTTTCCTGGAATACACATATTCACACATATTCTGCAGTGAAAATTCCTGTTTAGTTACTTGGAAGGAGATCAAATTCCCTCTTCTTAAGATACTCACTGATCTTGTCAGCAAATAATAACAGTTTCATTAACTGAAAACCTCCCCACCCTGCTTTCCTCCACCTTGCTTCCAGCAAAAGTATGTAGGTGCTAAATAACAGTCATAAAAAACGATTATTCGCACATTAAATGCAGAGCCAGCACAGGAAGAATGCAAACTGGTGGATAAATGTGAATGAAGACAGTGGCTCTGGGGCAGCTCTTGATACTCTTACAGTCACAGGGCACTGAGGTCCCCCAGAAAGAATCGCTTGGGATAAAGATGTGAAGATGACACTTGATGGACATGCACTCCCCCAGAGCCCAACGGAACATTACTGTAGCTGAAAGATGATGGTGGCATCTCAAAACTCTTCTGAGATCAGTTTGTTGTTGTTTGCTCTTACAGGGGGAAGGGAAGAAATGAAGTGGACTCCAAAGGAGGTACAGAGACCTGAGGTTTTCACAGCAAGAGTCTGCCTACCTGTGCCCTACGAAAATTCAAAGTAGTCTGGAGTCAGCTCCAAGCAAAACAGCTCATTTGCACTGAAACAAGATGCTTTATGCATTTGCCACTACTTTTATACTTCTTCATGAATGTCCTCCTCATTGGGAGAGACTGTGGACCAGTCTCCTTGAAGGGGCCTGCAGGCTCTCGATGTGTGAGCTACTATACATTTTCTGTAGGAATCTAGGCTGCCAGGTTTTTAAAACAAAGTTAATGTACAAGATCTGAAACTTTTTTTTTTTTTTTTTAAATCTAACAATTATAGGTTCCATCAAAAGTATGATAAATTTAAAAGATTGGGATGACATCAGCCACCATAGTTTCAATCTATGAAATAACCGAAACCGACATATGTGCATTAAAAGTCTGTGGCTTGTTAGCAAGGAGTAACCACAGAAATCTGTGTACAAAGAAGGAGTAATGGTGGCAGACCATGAAACACGCTAGATCTGAATGTTTTGATAATGTTCAAAGAGCAAAGACATAATTCAGTCTAACTAATGAGTCTGCATGCAGCCTATGAGTATCTAATGGGTTGACACAACAAACGTAATTAGTTTATAAGTTCCTGAAGGCAAGCACAGATCCGAGCGATCTCACTTACATCAGGAGTAGCTGTACCAAAGGGAATTAGTCACAAGGCCAGAGGGAATATGTGGATTATCTGTGTGATCTTCTACCTACCTCAGGTCAGAGAACTCTCCTGACCTAATTCACTCCCATTTGAATGGGAGCATCTTTTTGAGAAAAAGACATTTTGGTGTAAAATATTCAGTGCTGAAGAACCAGCCACAGACCTTAGCATGCTCTTCCACTGCTTAATAACCCTCATTGTTAATTATTACTGTTTTCTGCTCTGAATCTGAATCTGCCAAGGCTCATCTTGCAGCCTTTTAATCTTGTGATGCCTTACTCTGTGAAGGGGAAAAGCCCTCTGCTGCCAAATGTCTCTTTCCCTGCTTATGGCTTAGGTCCAAGTACACACAAGCTGTGTGTCTGTCCCTGGCTGGGAACCCAAACCCTTGTTACCTACTTCAGCTGCAGTCGTACGTGCTGGGGGAAAGCCAGCAGGGTCATGAAGTGAGGAGTTGCATGGAGCTTGTGCTGGGCAAGGCTGGGCATCATGGCATGAGCACATCCCGAGGGAAGAGCACTAGTGGGTAGGGTACTCGGCTGGCATGGGGAAGGAGGAAAGGCAACAAGAAGTTCTGCTGCTCCTGGGGTGATTTCATTCAGGGTTATTTAATGCAGAATATGTACATAGGGGTGAGAAGAACTGTGGGTGGTGTATGGCAGCGTGTGGTGGAGGTGGTTTCACTGGGCTTGTTGAGGAGACTGAAATACTCCTCTGCTTAGATTTCACAGCATCACAGAATCATTTAGGTTGGAAAAGGCCTTGAAGATCATCTTGTCCAACCACTAACATAACACTGACCGTTCTCTGCTGATGCAGAAGTCCCGAACACAACTGTTCTCAACTACCCCATATCCCTAAGCGCTATGTCAGCCTGAATCCTGAAGAACCCTAGGCAGGGGCAAGCAGCAGAGATATGTGCCCAGGACAGTCCAGGGCACGCACAGGAGTAGAACTGCAGGTTCTGGGGGGATGTCTGCAGCCCAACAGAGAGGTGCCTAATCAACTTAATTGCATCTAGAGTTAGGCAGCTGCTGACCAAGTACCTTTCTAGATCTAAATTTTGGAACTCTTAAGTTTGCTACACCCCTTTATGGGCACCCAGACTTTTTTCCAGATCCAGCACCGACCAATTGTGTTTAAGTCACTTTTCTTTCAGAAGATGGACAGCTTTGAGCCCCTGGACTCAGGTGTGATGAGGGCACTTCACAGCCTTTTACTTACATCATGGCTCTTCCCGCTTTCTTCTGGAGTTGTGGTTACCAGGACTGGAGATCTGAGAGCACACAGGAGCCAAGTAAAGAGCTCAAGCAATATTTTCAACCCAGCATCTTTCCTGTTTGTGGATCCAAGGATCTTGTTATTCTTTTTGCCACAGAGCCACATGCCACAACCACCTGTGGCCAGCTACTCCCTACCGCTACCCCAGGATTTTTCAGAGTTACCTGTTTTCATAATACAGTCACTGATGCTTCAAGTCTAACCTGCCATGGTGTAACTCCCCTCAGTCAGGGGAGTGATTTGCAACACATGATTAATTAGTCCAGAAATGCTTGCAAGGTTTTTGACATGGACACACACATGCCATGCAGGTGGCAGGTGCCTTGCAGTGACAGTTAGTGGGACTATAAATAGACCAAGGATTTTTTTAAAAGTTGTGGCATAGTCCTTAGGTACCAAGAGCTGAAAAGCACCATCCTGAAGTCCTTTGTTCTGAGATTGACAGTAGATGTATGGAAAAGCATGTTGCTCCCTCATCTAAATTTACTAGATGTTATAATTTACTCAGTGTTAGGCAGCCATTCTTCTTCTATCCAACCACTTTTCCAACCTCTGTGTCAGCTGCAAACTTCAGCACTTGGGATTTTATCTGGGGCATGGTTTAAAACAAAACAACACACCACAACATTAGGCAGCGTAAGACAATACCCGATGCCTGCAGAACCTCTCTGAAAAGTAATTGCTTTAGGATGGTTCCCCTTTAGTTATTTTAAGACTAGTGTGCTGGATTTTCACCAATATGAACCAGTCTGAGTTTACATTCTTCTACCTTTTTAATCAAAGTGATTTTCTAGCCAGACAGTTGTTTACAGAAGCAACAAAATACTTTTATCAGTAAAACTTATTATCTTGTTTTAGAAATATAAATTAGTTTGACAGGAATTATTTTCCCTAATCCCATGTTGATTGGAATTATTATTATCATGATC